AATGCAATTAAAATAGACATTTCTTAAAGTGAGTGTAATATGATGATGTGTCTTTCTATATGTTTCTTTGGTTGGTACTTTATAGATTTTGCATATATTTTTATGGATACTATATGTTGATAATGTTCAGGGTTAAATGTTCAATTTTATAATAAGTGCAAATACCGGTTTTTGGACTAGGCTTGTCTTGAGTAGATGTACATACATTTATGAAGATGATGTTGCTTGATGTTGAGAATGGTGTGTACTATTATTATGAAGACAAGGGGGATCTTTCATAGCAATTCTGCATTGTGTTTTTACTATTGTCAATGAATTATGCAGATACATGATGAAGAGTTCAAGTTTCAAGAAATGGGCTGTGGGATTTGCACATGGAAATGAAGGAAAGGCAACGTTGGAAGTCTGAAGAGGATGCATTGTTATGTGCTTATGTGAGACAGTATGGTCCTAGAGAATGGAATCTTGTATCTCAGCGCATGAACACGCCTCTTAACAGGGATGCAAAGTCATGCTTGGAAAGGTGGAAGAACTACCTCAAGCCTGGCATCAAGAAAGGCTGTCTAACCGAAGAAGAGCAGCGTCTTGTGATCCGGCTTCAAGCGAAACATGGCAACAAGTGGAAGAAAATCGCTGCAGAAGTTCCTGGTAGAACTGCCAAGAGGTTAGGCAAGTGGTGGGAGGTGTTCAAAGAGAAACAACAAAGGGAGAAACAAGAGATTCACAAAGCAATTGGCCCAGTTGATGACACCAAATATGATCATATACTAGAGACTTTTGCTGAGAAACTAGTGAAAGAACAACACCCTTCACAATCACCATACCTTATGGTTGCTGCATCTAATGGACCTGCATCTGCATCTGCATCTGCATCATCGGCATTGTTTCCTCCTTGGCTTTCAAATTCTAGCAGCACCAATCCCTCATCAGCAATTAGGCCACCTTCCCCTTCTGTGACACTAAGTCTCTCCTCCTCAACAGCGTGGCTACAACCCGAAAGACGACTAGGGAATGCAGCAACACCTCATGGTGGATCTGTTTCAGCCTTCGGTGATAACATGATGGTCTCAGAGTTGATAGAGTGCTGTAAGGAGTTGGAAGAAGGGTATCGTGCTTGGGTGGTGCACAGGAAGGAGGCGGCTTGGCGGTTGAGAAGGGTGGAGCTGCAGTTGGAGGCAGAGAAGGCAAGCCGAAGGAAGGAAAAGATGGATGAAATTGAGGCAAAGATTAAGGCTCTTTGGGTGGAACAGAATGCTGTTTTGGATAGAATTGAATCAGAATGCAGAGAACAGTTAGCAGGGATGAGGAGAGATGCAGAAAACAAGGAGCAGAAGTTGGCTGAGCAATGGAATGCAAAGCACATGAGGGTAGTGAAATGTATTTTATGTTTCCTTTACCTTTGTATCTCATAGGGATAAGTTTAGCAAGCAAACTGTTTGCATCAACTTTCTCATTACTGGTGAAATACTGCTCAACGGCATCAAAGAAACCTTTAGCATTGTGGCTCTCAGAAATAGAGCCCCGAAAAACTTCTGGAACAGATCGCTTCATGATCATCAAATACATTCGATTTGAGCGTTCCCATTTTTCAACCTTATCCTCGTCCGGGTTTTCCGGATTTGGAGTGGGTTTCTCAGCCCGAAGTGCAAAATCAAGATTCATGCAGCCAAGAATTATCTCAACTGTTTCCTTCCAGGCCTTAAAGTTTGTCCCATTAAGCATGGGTATACAATTAATTTGAGCAGATAAGTTAACAGCACTAGCAACAGCAACTATAATAGAACATAGATAAAAAAAATTTAATTTAATTACATGCTCACAGTAAAATAAAATAAATAAAGCATGCAGATTATTTCATAATAGACCCATTACAAGATACCGAGCACAACATTAATTCTTTGTCTTTGGACATACAAATTAACTTGTTAGTGGTACTCTCAATGCAACGATCAAATATTGACAATTAATTCTTTCAAATAATAGCCTTTCTTTGGACCGACTATTATTTACATGATTGTAACTTTATAATTGTCACATAATAGCCTTTCTTTGGCCAAATTGTGTCTTCCTTTGGGATGAGCACAAATCGCATAAATAATCTCATACTAACATCTATTGTAATTTTTAATCAAATTAATTTCTATAATAGGGATTGCTTTGGCAATATATTACATCAATTTATTTAATTAAAAATTACCAGACAAATTAATTAATAAAGAAGGTCTATAATCTACCAATATTCGCACTCAAATTTGATATATAAAAAAATATCAATTTAAATTTGAACATAATGTCAATCAAATTTCAAGAAAATAATTCTTACGCGAATGCCATTAAAAAAAATCGATAATGTAGAATTCAATATATTAATCATATAATTTTTCCAAGTATCATTTAATATAACAACAATGATTTTGACAAAAACAAAAAAAATCCCACTTCTGGTGGTACTCAAAGGATCAAACATAATATTATTTTCCCACTTCCGGTGAGAAAAATATTCTTTTATTTCATTGTTGCACAATTAACTCACTTCTAGTGAGAAAATATTTCTTTATTGCATTGTTGCACAATTAACTCACTTCTGGTGAGAAAATATTTATTTATTGCATTGTTGCACAATTAACTCACTTCTGGTGAGAAAATAAAAAATTCAAAAAACTTCTTCATTTAACAATGTCTTCAGGATCATTGCAAAATTGTTACATATACAAATACATAACATTCACAGAAAAATTATACAATTTTACAAAAAAAAATCTCTTTAATTAAAAATTCAATTTTTAATCGATCTCTTTATTCGTATAATCAATTAAACCAAATTGAAGAAGAAGAAAAAGCATGACCAACGTATTCAAATACACGTATTATCAATGAAGAGAGAAAAAACATTGTAACAATACGCTTTAAAACCCCATAACCTAATAACAACGGCGGCTCTGATACCTCTTGTTGGGATAAAATTTCTTAGGCCAAATAGAAATTTTTCATTAATCAATATTAAGAACCGTTGTCTCAGATTACAGAGTTAATGTTAATAATACGTACCTGTATCCATTGACGTTGATCAAAAGGTTGCAGCGGAATAGTCTTTTGGTGCAATGATCTTCCTCAACCAAATCACTGGATTCCTTGATGGGACTTTTTGATGTTACTCTTCTGATGGGGAGATAGAGAGACGTGTGTTTCTGATTTGACATATTGGGGACCATGACCATCTTTTTGATTTTAAACCTATTAGGGTTCCCATTAATCCCTAACGGGCCAAATATGGTTTCCACTTATATGGGCCTATATCAGTTTTTCCTGTTGGCAGTCTAAAGGCTCACTAAAATTAGATCACTTTTATTAAGCCCAACTAAATGTAAATAACTAATATAAATACTACAAATAATATATGCAGCCCACAATAATTATTAGAAATAAAATTTCTAACATTATATACCTTTTATTATATTTTAATTTTCTTTACCAATATATCTCTTAATGATAAAATAGAAAAGAAAAAAAATATATAAATAAATAAATGCTCTATCAATAATAATATATTTTATAATTACTTTTGATCTTTATTTTTGTTTAAGACTATTTTACTTTTAATTAAAAGTGTGTTTGGTTTAGTTTCAGAATCATGAAACATGGAATCAGGATGTGAAAAATTAGAAACTAATATATGTATATTCTCTTTTGATGTGAATTTTGGAAAGAAATTTTGATGACGAGACACAGTTTCAAACAACTACATATATCTTATTTGATTTATGTATTGCAATCTCTATTATTTATATTATTTTTAAACAAATTTCATTGAGGCAGAAAGTGCCCTCTTTTCCATTATTGATAAAGTTGAAAAGTAATTTAAGAAAATTTCATTAAAACAAAACAATTGAACCTATATATCTTAAGTGAGAGTGTCATTAGGGACTATTTTTTAATGAGAACATTTTTTAAGGTTTTGTCAACATTTTTTTAATTTATTTTTTTATTTATCATATTTATTTATAAATTAAATTTTAATTTTAAAATAAATTATTAATAATTAAAATAATATTATATTATAATAGAAATTATTTATCTAAAATATAATATCAATGTTTAAATATAACTATGTACAATAATTTTAAATAAAATTTATATATTTAATATAATATTTATTTTTATATATTTTATTATAATTTTTTAATTAAATATAATAAACATTTAAACTATGAAATACAAAAGTTAAAATATTAATTTAGTTACAAATGTGTTTAAAAAAACTGAATTCAAGCTTAATTTTTTTTTTAACATATCTAGCTCAAATTATCAATTAGGCACCATTAGATAAATAAGTTGTTTATATTCCTGATCACAGTTCTTTAAAAATTATTAGATATAGTTTATTTTAAAATTTAATTATATTTTTAGTCACCTAAATTTAGAGTTATTATTATTTTTATCCTCTAAATTTAAAACTTATTGTATTTTCGATTCTTGTAATTTCAAAAAGAATATTGCTTTAGTTCTTGTATATATGAATTTTTTTAACATATCATTTTGTATTTTATTTTTCTAAATAATATAACCCCTTTTTTATTTATCAAAATGACCCAATCACGGTTGAAGGTAAGAAATTGGTTGGGGAAACTAATTTCTCATCACTCAATTTCAACCTCCCATCCCTGCACTTTGCATAACATGCCTGTTTGAGAAATTGGTTGTTAAGAAATTGATTTCTCAATAGGTTTTTTTGTTTTTTTTTCTTCAATTTTTGTTAAAATTATTAAATCTAAAAATTATTTTAATAAATCTATAATTAAAATTTAATATACAAATATTAATATTTTTATTAATTTAAATATTTAAATTAT